ACATCACAACATGCAAAATTTGAATTTCAGTTCAATTCAGTTCTATTTTATTCATACAACACCAAATCAGAACAGTCACCTCAAGGCGCTTTATATTGTAAGGTAGACCCTGCATAATACATACAGAGAAAAACCCAACAATCATATGACCCCCTATGATCAAGTCCTTTTAACAGGTAGAAACCTCCAGCAGAACCAGACTCAGGGAGGGGCGGCCATCGGTCGTCACCGGTTGGGGTGAGAATAGGAAGACAGGACAAAAGACATGAAAGCAGCAAGTGAAAAGATTTTGACCACAGCATGTGCGAATACTGATACACTTGAGTTGTGCTTTGCTCGGTACAGCAGGACACCTTTATTCCATGAAGCAAGCTATAGAAAAGACTGTCCAGTGTGAAAGGGAATGCTAACATGCAAAAATTAGTTTTCAGCAGTTGTTTAACACAAAAAACAGATTCAGCTGTTTTTAAAGTGTATATATCTGTTGGTGTATTTAAGATGAGAAAACAGAAACCTTTATTAGTCCCCCACGTTGGAAATGTTTTGGTCAAGACAGAAAGCGCAAGTAAAGAGCAGTAGAAAAAAAGGAAAAATATTTTAGCATATTAGTAATACGTATAAGTCCTTGAAATATTTTCTGTTCAGGCCAGTGGAGTGTGAACAGCGTGTACCAGACTTAGATAATAAGTAGAAAACAACAGGCTGCTAATTGCTAGCTAATATTAATCCAGCAAAGTTACGGAGTGAGCTGTTTTTCTTTCTCTATCTTTTTTCAGAAAAAGGAGCAGGTGAGAGATGAGGTCAGATGTGGATAAAGTGCTTGAGAAGATCCAGTCAGGGACGGCAGGACTGGCCACGTTGTTTCCCAGGAGAAGATATTCATAATAACACTTGTTTTTGCTGTGGTATAAAACTGTATTGCCTACTTACTGCTGAAGTGTCTGAGCTGAGTCTGTGCTCATTCATGGAGATTTCTTTTTTACTTCTGCACCCAAATCCAGGAGACACGAAAACTCAGAATTCATAACAGATGAAAAATAATCATTTGATGTCACTTTTTTTCTTAGCGTTTGTTTTAGTCTGAATTACTGAATACTGAATAGTCTACTCAGTCATTCAATCAATGAATCAATCAATCTTTATTAGCAGACTTTACATCCATAGCTTAAAAAACAACAACAACAAAACATAAAATATTTGTAATGATATAAAACCATTATATACATAAAATACACAATTACTTAAAAGAAAACAATAAATACACAAACACTTCAACCAGTGCTTCCTCAGATTGGAAAAGTAACAGGAACCCCTCACTGTCTCTGTGAGCGCTAAAATTAGACTGTTAGAGCCATAAATGTGAACATTACATTTCTTAAAAGTACTTTAAAAGTCCAAACACCCACAGCTACAAACATCTGACTGACACTACCTCCTCTAAGTTTTCTACGAAGGATTCTCATTGCATCATTACATGCAGCATGCAGCTTCTACAATGTTTTTGGGATGACCACAAGGGGGCAGTATATAACGGGGTGCAATACCCTTCAAACAAAGCCAGTTTAACTGGAAGTGAACAAAAGCTGATTTGCAGTAGTATTTGCCTGCACATAGCGCTTACATCGTTGTCTGTATCTGTCATCATCATCATTAGTTTGATCAGTAATAATAAATAAAAACCTCAATAGTTTTTTGGGACAGTTTAAACAGAGAAATTTACCTGTTCATCCTGTTTGGTTCTACGTATCAAGACAGAACTTTCAACAGCATTTTACTTTATATCATATAACACACCATATTCAGTACAGATATTAAGAAGCTGCTGTAATCCAGCACTACTTCGACTAAAAACAACCAGGTCATGATAAGAGGATTTATCAATGTTTAATCTAATACACACCCAGCTGTGAGGAACGCCACGTCACTATTGAAGTGTTTGTATGCGTCAGCGTTTTATTGTTGACTTTGATGTTTTAATCTCTTCAAAGTGAATAAATACAATTCTATTGTCTTGTTAAATAATAAGGAAGAAATCAGTAGATTTGAAAATGTTCTGGCATGTTGTTCAGTGCATGTGTTGACATTGTGAATGAATAGATAAACCTGAAACTTTAATTTTTTAGGTGTTGTGTTGATCAGAGTCAAGACTGAAACAGAAAGTACTTTTAACTGCTGACCGTGTTTATTAAATGTCTTCACTGTACTCTGGAATTGTGACCTTGTACATTTATTTATTTCACAGACTTTATCTTCAGTTATGGACAGACATGTCATACAGAAACTGTCACACTTATGTCACTTTGTTTTATGTCTCATAATCCCACCTACGGAATGAGCAGATAAGAAAGGAATGTGGTTGCTAAGGAGGTGTTGCTATGGACACTGCTGTCATACAGGTGCAGGGTGTGGGCTGTAGAAAACAGGATGATACGGAAATACAGGTTAGTTGGGTTTGTGGCTGTGACGGCACTTTACACACAGATTTTACTTTTTATTTGTCTCCTTATTTTTGTAACTTTTTACTTGTTTTTCATCGAACCTCCTCCAGTAACCTTTGATTTACAGGAAAGCAATCGGGTACAAGTACAAAGTACTAAAGCTACACTTTTCTAGAATTTAGAGGATTTTATGTTTTTGTTCTTGATTTTTTTATCATAATGGTCAGACGACTCTTTGAGGATTTTGGAGATCTCTTCAGAACAACAGTAACAGTAAGTGTTGACACCTTTCAGTTTTTTAACCCAACAAACTGACACTGTACAGGAAGTGTTATACGGCACACACACACAAATTTCCTGCAGACTATTTGCTGCTGTTCATCTTTTCCATATTTTCTATGCCAGAACAGCTGTGGTTTTATGAAGACTATAGCTAAATGCTGCCTCTACTCCTTTTTAGTAGAGTCAACACTTATTTTGACATCACTTCCTTATGAGAAAAAATGGTGGGTCAGAGTTGAGGAGTTCCAGGCTGGTTTACACATAACATTTCCCTGAGAATCATTTTCATATTGGGTCAGTAGTTCTGTTTGTGACGGCCACACAAGGATGTAACATGTTAGAGTACTCCAGACAAAGTGTAATGTGTGTGTCAGTGTGATGTGTTGTAGTTTCAGGAGTCAGTATACAGCTACAAAGCTTTTGTTCAGTGTATACAAACAGCTGTAGCTACATAAAGGCAGCATGCAGAGACTCAGTGTCTTATAATGAGAGGCTGCTTTCTCTCACACATTATGTTCACTTATTATCAGCACGTGTTGTTGTTCTGTGGAAGCTGCAGGAACCAGATTTAATAACTAAACTGTAGAAGATGAAAACAACCCTCACTGTTAACCTGCCTCCATCTCATTTACACACATATTCTTAACTGTGTTCAATGAAACTCATTTCACTTGTACACTTATATAAAAACGGGGGGGGGGAACCCACATATAGGCTTGGAAGGAGAATTATTTTCCTTAAAACACATATTAAAGTCCTATACACTAACTTCCTAATAAAGTTGCTGTAATGAAGGTTCTGTAGAAATAAAGTTATAAATCTCCACTGGGACAATGGGCCAAGGTTTCAGATCATTCATACACACTGTACTGTTTATACAGCCAGATACATGCAGTCTGGGTGGGGTGATTTTGAGGAACCGAAATGCAGACAAGAAAGACAGGCAGTAGTTTAAAAACAAGTAATTTATTTGGCTGTGGAAAAAGCTAGGAAAATGAGATGCAAACAAAGACTGCGTGAAAGGAGGGAACGTGAGATTAAACACAAACCAGATAAAATCAATGCAAAGGAGATAAGATGGCATCAAAATAAATATACAGAAAGTGAGAAACAATAACTGAATGGGGAAACGTAGAAACAGCAATTAACTTGAATGTCAACAAATAACAAGAGAAACAAACACAGGGAACAACTAATGCAACCAGGAACTAAAAACTCGAGGCTAAATACAGTAAGGCAGCCATTCATAAAGTCAAGAGTGCTGTGGTCCACTTAAAAACCAGAAAATGACTTAATTCTTCACTTGATTTAAAAACAAAAGAAAGTGACAACAATTTTAAAACTGTATTTTATAAAATCATCAACAACACAGGCTGCTGGCTCTAAATTGCTGCTCAATCATATGCAAAGTGTTAATGTTGATGTGTGACCAACCTGCTGCTGGGACACAAATTTCAATACAAGGGCAGTAAATCTGGTCCAGGGTAATGAGTAATATTACACATCAACCACCTCCTATTACCAATTATATTATACTAAATCCATTTATACAGGTGAGTAATTTGAAACTGAATTTCTGTTACTACTGTGGCCCAGCTACAGTATCTTCACAATCCACCAGGTGTCGTTGGCCCACAATTTGGGAATAACGTAGTAAAGAAATACATGGCGAAGCAAATATAAACACTAAGCAAGTGAAGAGTGAAAACCATGACGACGGTGAGGGACATGATGGGCTGGCAGAGCAACAGTCTCCCTCTTTCCATTCAAGACTCAAATAGACAGCTGCAAAAGCAAAGAGCGGACATTTGAGCACACTGAAGGAAAACAACTAGGGCTGTGCGACATAACCAAAATCTTATATCCCGATATAAGATTTCTATCATCTATCAAAATAAATGCAACTCACAAAGAATTACACCAAATACTATGCCAAACTACAACATTGGCTTATGGCATAAATCAGTGGATAAACCATGTGTCACAATCGTTATGCCAAAAAATGTAGTAGTTTCTAACAATCCTGCGCAGACACCTCCCACCTCAAAATTTAGCCCAACCGTTCAACTACAGAATGAGTGAGTTTCGTCGCATTACCACTGTCAGTTACGGAGATGGGAGCGCAAAACATTTCCTGAGTTCCGGAACAACACAAAGAACGCTACAGAAATGCTACAAGCTGATTGGTTAAACGTAATGTCGCTATCTGTGATGTAGCCAATGATTCATTAGAAGTTGGCCACGAACGTCTTCATGCTGCGTTCCCGTTACCTTTGAAACGGTGCTACTAACATTAGAGAAGCGAGGCAGAAGGATATGTTTTTATTCGTAGCAAAACGGAGTCGTTCGTCTATTGTTAGCAATACAGCGCATTGTCCGTCCATTATAGTTAAAAGCACTTTTACAGACATGTAGGTGCCTAGCATGACTTATTCACCGAGTTACAAATACACAACGGTCATTGTACAAATTAGAAGTTGTACCAGTTTCTACTCTTTGTGCGCACTACTGCAGCCTGGGATTGGAAATCTGGGTTTGTTAGACTTCTCTCAATCCAATTTACCGGAGGGGTGATGGAGCTGGACACGGGGTTTCTGATTTCCGTTGGACAGGAACGCGGCAGGGACAGGAATCGGACGTGTTGACTGGAGTGGGGGAAGTAGGAGAGAGAGGGGGAAGTATGACTTTTAACCTTATTTCACGATTAACTAATTACGATTAACTGATTAATATATTCAGGCGTTAAACTCAGGTTACGAGATATACCAAAAGTACCAACATCCATCCGTCCAACACTAAGAAGAAGCTAACGTCATCAGAAAGTGAAAACACGGAAATGGCAACTTCTGCGTCACTCTGCTGTTTTATGTTTCTCGGTGTCTTCGGGTTTGTCTCTGCAGGTGAGATTTAACTGTTATAAGCCGAACTGTGATTCTCTCTGAGATGGAGAGGATTTGGTTTCTCTAAAATAATTATAATTTTTTTCGTAGTTTCTTTGTGTGACGGCGACACGAGGCTGGGTGGAGCCTCCTGCAACACTCCTCACACCCTCATGGTGGTGATAACACTGCGTGAAGTTCTCGATCTGTGGTTTCTTAGTGTAAACCGTGGATAGCTAAATAAAATTAAAACATTCAGTCGCACATGTTACATGTTGTGAGAAACGGCAGCTCTAAAGTTTGTTGGGGTCATGGGCCCACAGATTGACAGAGGCCTCTCCAACCTCAGTTCTGTCATGTCATAAATACTCTGAACAAAGTAAGTATTATTCATTTTAAAAGCCAGTGCACTCCCAGTGTCGGTCCCAAGCGCTAACTCATCGGTTGGGTCAATAAGGCCAATTGTCTTAAATTCTTTACCACAGCTAACATGGAGCTCATCAGTAATATTTCCACACTGGATCGGTCAAGGCCCAGGATAACAGTGACAGCCTCCAGTGTTGAAGGTGCTGAGGGAAAAAGAAGGCAAGAGGAGGACTGATGGAGGACAGTCAGTGAATCATGAGATATAGAGTAACAGGGTATTTATGCTTTAGCAGGAAATCTGCTTTGTAACCCACAGAGTAACCTGATTTGTAACTATCTAGAAATGTGACTGCATGCTGGTTCAGTGCTGACCTTGACCACTGTGACAAGCCTGTTCAGCACTGTCAAGTCTTTCTGTGCATTTCCTGCCTTTTAGTTGCAGGTTTTACATTTTAAAAAGAAAGAAAATGTAATAGAATATAAAGAATAGCATCAATAATTAGGACTCAAACTCTGGGATGGAGATGGCTGAAACTACCTGAATGAAGGTGAGGGAATGTACAAAGAATGGGGGAAAATAGATGGATAGATATGCTTGTCCCTGAAAAGCAAAGACTGGAGATCCAGGAGAGAAAAACTCCCAGCGTTTTTTTTTCTGTTGGCTTATAATACATCAGAAGAGCACTACATGTTAACAAATACATGCACACCAGCACAAGCATAAATACTGGCAATTGTGACTGGCAACAGGCAGCTATGAAAAGGATGATAAGTGGAAAGACAATGAGTGGTCTAGATGACATGCCTGGAGATGTCTTGAAGAGAGGACAGTGGACTCTTTGATAAGAGTGTTTAACACAATCTTGGAGACTGAAAAGATGCCTGAGCATTTGAGAAGTGTAAGGTAAGATATGTGGGGCAATGTGCAGAGCTGCAGTAACTACTGAGGGATAATGTTCATGAGCCACACCATGGAACTATGAGAAAGTGTTTTTGAAGCTTGGTTAAAAAGAGAGGTGATGATCATTGAGCAGGAGTATGATGATGAGAAAGTGCTCTCCAGTGATGGAAAACTATAGAGACGGGCAGAAGGAGTTTCACTGAGTCTTTATAGATTTAGAGAAAGCACATCATAACAGAGACGTATGAGGATGGTGCAGGAAGTGTATGTGGACATCGAGACAGTAAATGAATAGAATATGAATGAGTAGAACAGACAAGATTAGCAGTGACCATATAGCAGGTTCAGCTCAGTGATCACAGGGAATGGCAGTCAGTGCTTTACAACATTTTTATTTAATAACACAGGACAAATGTTCATTCCACCTTGCTTGGCTTTGAAGTGCAGCATCACCACACTGCTGTGTCCTCCTCTCTCCCTGCACCCACTATATAGGGAGAGAAAATCATTAAAAAAAAGCTCTCCTGATGTGCCACACTACTCAGTGGACCTGATTTCTCAGCTTACACCCCCTGCAGCTTAGCCACAACCCAGCTGCCAAAGATGTCAGACATCACAGGACAGCTCAGGTTGAGTGCTTTGAAGGTAACATTTGAGAGGCAAGTCTGACATAGTTTGGAGGGATTGTGGATGTACTGGAAAAACAGTGTCAAACATGGAGGTGCCAGGCAGAAGGAGAAGAGGAAGACCTCAGAGGACATTAATGGATATAGTGAAGGAGGATGTGCAGATGATTAGTGTGACATGGAGGCCTTACAACCTGTAAAGAAGAAGAAAAAGTCAATACTGTTATCACCAAACTATAAGTATAAATATTTTAAAAGAACATCCTGTAGAAATGATTATAATATACTAAAATTACTACTTCTACATTTATTTCTTTATGCTAGCTGATCTAACAGGTTTCCAAGCTGGTATCCTGACTCTGACTTAGTCCCGTCACAGGAAGCAGAGCTGGACAATCAGGCTCAGCAAATGTTCTGGTTTCTCAGGCCTTTTCTCCCCCCAGAAATTATTATATTTAACCTCTCTGCTCTGTTTTGTTTCCTCTTTCAGACCAGGAAGTAATCTCTGGACAGAACGTAACTCTGCCATGTCGTACAAATAACAAGATCCCTATCATAGCAGTAAAGTGGAGCAGAGCTGACCTGGGGGAGAAATATGTCCTTTTTTACCGGGATGAGCAATTTGTTCCAGACAAACAGCATCCATCTTTTAAGAACCGGGTGGATCTGCAGGACAGACAGATGAAGGATGGAGACGTGTCTCTGATTCTGAACAATGTGACGATTAATGATGCTGGAACCTACAGGTGTCAAGTTGCCCAGAGAGAACCAAACCAAGAGATAGCCAATTTAAAGATCATCAACACATCCAAACTCAGCATTGTTCCTCCAGGTGAGTGAGTAGAGTTGAGTGTGTGTGTGATCAGAGGTGAAGCTGCTTCCTGGTTGTTGATGTTTGTTTGTAAAGATGTTGTTGATGAGACTTTGTAGAAAGCAGCTGGTCTGAGTGATGTGATCAGAGTGCAGTAGATAATGTCTGACAGCAGTTTGAAGAGGAAATGGATTCTGTTCTGTTCTTCACTCATCACCTACCTGACAGCTGACACCTCACACCTGTTTCTCACCTGCAGGTCAGACAGGAGGACAAGTGAAGGATGGATCTGTTGGACTGAAAGTTGGTCTGCCAGTTTTTGGGCTGCTTCTTGTTGTTGCTGTTGGTTTTGGAGTCTAGACAGAAGCAGACTCGACAATCCATGCTGAATAGTCACTTGTTTGAAATGTCACAAAGATCGACTCTGAGTCTCCTGCTGATGTTCTGAGTTCTCAGTGATAGAAAACAGATGAGCTGATGATAGACAGAAATTAACAATGCTGAAGATTCATCAGGTAGCTGTCAAACTTGTAGATTTTTATTTGATTTAAATTTGTATGTGATGATGAAGTTGGATTATAGAGAATCTTTTCCCACAAGATTACCTGTTCTGCTACACCTGAATAACTGAGGTTACTAATATTAGAGTATTATGAAACCAAAAAAAGTTCCATGTAGGTCCAAAGTCATTTTCCTCTGAAACTTCAACTGTTTCTTTCATGAAGGAGACTCAGTTTAAACATTTCAAGAGCTGGTTACATATAATTTTATTTTTATACGAATTTGTTTGGTCATTGCTGATAAATTTGACGTTTTTTTTAATGTATGTATTTATGTGCTTTATTTGTTTGCTCTCTGTCACCGTAAAAGTTATTTAAGTCAAAAGCTTTTTTTAACCAGTTAATGCAGATTTTACCCACATTGGAGTCATTCAAAAGCAAATGTAATAGTGTGTATAGTGTGATTCAATATACACGCTGATGTATTCCCGCACTTACAGTTTGTTATTCATGTAACAAGTTGTAATTGTTACATTAGGTTTGTTGTGCTGTTTTACTTGGTAAATGAAAAGTCACTGTTTTTATTCCAGCCGGAGACACAAGTCACAAAGGTGATATTTCTACATTAACATTTAACATTTAACCTGAAACTGTGTTTATGAGTCAGCTGCTTCTGATCAGGATAAATAAATAAATGATTGTGATCATTTGTCAGACTGTTTTTATTCATTCTTTGTGTTTCAGGTATTTACTGTATTTTCTTTCTCCAGTTGACAATTTTATTCATTTATGCTCTAAGAAAAATGCAGAAACATTTTCCTTGAAAGGAAACTGAATAACGGTGGCACGGTAGTTATCACTGTTGCCTCACAGCAAGAAGGTCATGAGTTCAATTCCACCATCAGGTTTTTTTCTGTGTGGAGTTTGCATGTTCTCCCCGTGTCTGCGTGGGTTCCCTCCAGGTACTCCGGCTTTCTCCCACCGTCCAAAGACATGCAGTAACTGAATTGCCCATAACTTTGAATGTGTGAATGGTCGTCTGTCTTTGTGTTAGCCTTGTCCAGGGTGTACCCTACCTCTCGCCCTAAGACAGCTAGGTCCCATGACCCTGAAAAGTATAAGCGGAAGAGAATGGATGGAAAGTGAATATTGTGTCGTTACTTTTCTGTGGTGATTTAGTTGATCCAGATGTTCCAAATGTTTTAAATTTCATGTTAACTTAAAATTACTTTGCCAAAAGGTCCAGTAGAGCAATGCTGAAGAAGATATTTCCATCTTCTGTAGTTCTGCTGATCCAGTTAGGCTGTTAGACATGTTCAAGATGTGTTCAAGAATGCTGGGATCTTTTTTGAAGAATAAAAGAAAAAATCGTCTTGATGCATGCTCAATCATCCAGGAAAGTAACTCTCCAAAAGTTGATTCTGTTCATCTGGATGTAGCGTTTTGTGGGAGAAACGTTTCGTCACTCATCCAAGTGACTTCTTCAGTCTCAGCTGACGGCAGGTTTCCCCAAACTTATAAACAGTACATTTGCATAATGAATGAAACCAGCCCACAGAAGGAACAATGGGCTGGGAGGTCAGTTCCTTGATCATAATTATGCAAATTCTCATGACCATTGATTGACAACCACTGACCAAAACCCACTGATCAAAGACCATTGATCAATGGCCATGAGTACCATTCACAGAGAGTTGGGGAATGGCTGCAATCAGTATTGTATGATTGTAAAGGTGTCCCCTTAGGCCCCCTCCTCGATTCAGAGATGGTCTTTCCCTTTTCACATAAATGGCCTCTTTGACGCCACCCTCAAACCAGCGTTCCTCCCTGTCCAGGATGTTACATCCTCATCATTGAAAGAGTGTCCACTGGCCTGTAGGTGTAAATAGACTGCAGAGTCTCGGCCTGACGAGGTAGCTCTTCTGTGTTGTACCATCCGCTTCGCCAGAGGTTGTTTGGTTTCCCCGATGTATAAATCCTGGCAATCCTCCTGGCACTTAACAGCGTACACTATGTTACTCTGTTTGTGTCGGGGACCCGATCCTTGGGGAAACCTGCAGTCAGCTGAGACTGAAGAAGTCACTTGGATGAGTGACGAAACGTTTCTCCCACAAAACGCTACATCCAGATGAACAGAATCAACTTTTGGAGAAAAGGAAAAATCCAAGTTTCATCTATAAACACAAGCATAACATATTAAATGTAGATTATTTTTGTTCCTTCATTTTCAATTGGAGTAAACATTAATTTCCCTGGAATCCATAAAGTTATTTTTTAGTTGTATTAAAATATACACAGCTGTTTGAGATCCTTCTCCAACTGCTCCAAGGCCTCGAGCAGTGCATCCAGATTAGATAAACAGGTGGACAAAAAATACCTTCCTTTGCAGTTTTCTTAAAAAAATCACGACTACTTCAGTAGGTTTCAGTTTTCCATTGCAAGAGTTCAAGAGTTGCAAGAACAAGTTTGTCAACATTTACAGAGTCAATCCTATTTGTCTTCCTGTCTACTAGTTGTATCTGACTACTTTGGTTTTCAACTACTTCTACTAACTGACACATTAATGCTCCTTTTAGTAAGTTTTAGTATTGCAACTGACTGATGACTGTATGAATAAAATGCTTTTTACTCCAAAGTTTATCCACGTGAAATAAAACACTACTGTTTTATCAAGGAAATGCGCATGCATTCCTTTTCATTTGTTTTGCTTTAGAAACGGACTGTTATTCTGCTGCATTTAAAGCCCAACATCTCCCTCTAGTGGCCACATATAAACCATGTGTGAGGACGGTGTTAATGTAAAATGTGAATCATAGTGTTCCAGTCAGTCATCAGTGTGTCTCTGCACAGCTGTAATTAAAATGTGTTCAGAGGGCCTCAGTGTCTGAATGGTTCCAGTTCAGCTCCATAACAGCAGCGTCCCTGGTTTGATTCCTGTGTTTCAGCTCATATCTGCCTCTCTCACTGAGGGGGACGTCCACTACATGGACATGGATTTGTTCATCAACCAAGCTACAGATCACTGAGAGCAGAGGACATTAGATTTCATTATTTCTCTTTTCATCGGTGTGAACCAATAAATTTCTGAGGCAGGTCACTGTGTTAAGAATTATATGTTTAAATAGTTTTTTTAATCAGTTGTATCTTCTTTTATATAATTTAGTCCCGACTTCTGTGTTTGAACCAATAGAAAGCTGGTGCTCAAAGGAAGAGGGCGAGCTTTACATGGTGTCAGTGTGAGAAATGAAAAAAAGCTCAAATGAGTGAGAAGGACGATGAAGGAAACATCTGTGCTGTGTCTGCTCTGTAAGTAGAATCTCTGTGTTTGTTTGAATTCTTGTACTTTGACTGTCTGCTCTCCTGATAACTGATGATGGAGGAGAAGACATGAAAAACAAATCAGGCTGAGTTCAAGTTCAAACACCACGAGGACCAACTGCAGGTCTGAAATGACTCTTTATCTTTGCTCTAAACTTTGACATGTTGCTGGCATTACATAGAAACTGAGCCAGTATATCAGAGATGAGTTTGTGTGTTTGTCGGCTGTTTGTGTGGAGTTGTTCTTTATGTTCACCTCAAACCAACCTGAGTGTCATTTCTCTTTAGTTCTGATCTCACTGCTGAGCTGCACAACAAACCAAGGTCAGTAACCTTCTTCTGTCACAGTTTAAACCTGAGAAATGCTCACTGATATGACCGGATGGGGTTCATGGTTCACAATGGATATCTATTTAAAACTACTTTCTGTCCATCCTGGTATCAAATGAAACCGTGTTTCATTTTAACCCTCACAGCTCGTCTGACTGTGAGTCCCAGCAGCTCTCAGTTCTTTGAAGGAGACTTTGTGTCTCTGAGCTGTGAGGAGGACGACAGCTGTGCTGGATGGACTCTGAGGAGAAACACAAGCAGACGACAGAGGACTCAGTGTGCAGATGGGTGGGGAAAACCAGCTGGTTCTTCCTGTACCATCAGTTACACTGACACAGTTGACAGTGGAGTTTACTGGTGTGAGTCCAGAGAGGGTCCCATCAGTAACATGGTTAACCTGACAGTCACTGGTAAGCTGAGTGTGTGGAGTTAGTGTTGATGAAGCTGTGTGTAAATGGATGAAATGCTGTAGTTTGTCTCTGTGTTGAGGTGGATCAGTGATCCTGCAGAGTCCTGTCCTCCCTGTGATGGAGGGAGATGACGTCACTCTGCTCTGTAAAACAAAGACCACTCCCTCCAACCTCCCAGCTGCTTTCTATAAAGATGGCTCCCTCATCAGGAAGCAGCCTACAGGTCACATGACCATCCAGCATGTTTCCAGGTCTGATGAAGGCCTCTACAAGTGTGACATCAGCGGTCATGGAGAGTCTCCATCCAGCTGGATCACTGTCACAGGTGACACACTCACCTGTCTGTGTTTCTGCAGCTTTCAACATTCACAATGTGACGACAACTTAATGACTGTGTTTGCTTTATTTTAGACAAACACACCACCACACCTCCACCTACCTCCACACCTCCACCTACATCCACCTCTCCTCCTGGTTCCTCTGTCATAACTGTGTTGTCATGTGTTGGATCAGTTTGTGTTGTTGTTCTACTGGTCTTACTGGTTCTACTGGTGAGAAGATGTGTTCACAGGAAACCTGAAGGTGAGACTCAGACTTCTGATTGTTACAGATTTTGAATGTGTGATTTTATTTTATTGAGTTTAGATTGGTAGCACGGTGGTGCAGTGTTGCCGCACAATCCTTAGTTCAATTCCACCATCTGGGGCCTGTTCTTCGTACCTCGCTAAGTAAGTTAGCCGGATTAGATTGTTGACGATTTCGCGTGATCCTGGATCAGTCGGTTCCCCGAAGCTCATCCGGGACTTGCTGTCATAGCAACAGAGCCGTAAGCGTAAACCTGCTCGGGAGCAGGTTTACTTTATGTAAACAGGATTAGATCGCGGCCACGCAGGTATGTCCGCTTCATTTATACAAAAGCAACAGCGATATTCCACCACTGTTTCACCATAAATAAATAACATCAATGTAACTAAAGATAATGCAGCACTTGATCCTGTTATTGATGTCACACAGATACATACAGGTCATTTCCTAAAAAAGGGAAATGAACTATTAACATTCTATTACATGTATGTGATTATTACAGATGTAATTCATATTTCAGAGTAGTAATTGTAAATTACTTCGTGTAATCAAGATGAGAGACCACGGCTATAAAAGCGAAGGTGGATTTGGGAAGCCTGTCGCAGCCATGTCCTGTCCTTATACGCGAGCCACCCATTGCAGAAGGTGCAAGATTGATAAGGAGAGTCCTCAGAATTCAGCGTATATTGCGGGACAGACAGGATCCTTTAGCTCAGCGCGACAGTGTGCTCATAGAGAGATATCGATATTCCTGTGAGGGTAGTATTTACTTAACCAACTTGTTGACGAGGGGGTGCAGGACCACCACCTGTCTTTTTTTCCTCTGCCCTTTTCTTGGTTGCTGTTATGAACAAACTAACAGAGTAATAGAGTATTACAGGCCAGTATTACCTTGCCAAGAGACGCAAAGCAATCTAAGAGATAAATATTACCATTCTGTAGAATACTCCTGTATTCCACCTTTACTTGTTCCCATGTTCTTGTGGGTCCTGTTGTGGCTCTAATGTGAAAGGGGATATAATATAACATATTATAATATAATATAATGCCATATGATATTGGACAATATAG